TTGCACTCCTGAATTAATTTATTGCTGAACCACTTCACCTTGTGTGTTTGTACAGTGGGCTCCAAAAAAACACTAGTGAAAATGCTTCTATTTTGTATTCTTTCTTTATGTAATACAACCTTTTTCATTGCAAATTGTATCAGCAACATAACAAGATAAAAGTTTCTTGATTTAATTTAATTTCATAGTATTTTGCATGCCCCCCTTATTGTAAAGAACTTCATGTGCTCTCAAGCTGGACTCCACAAGTTTGTGCAGAAGCCTCTAATGAGTTGATCAGTTACACCTGAGAGCTGTCTGAACACAAGCTTCAGTGTAAGGAATAAGACTCATAAATAAACCTCACCTTTTTGTACAAAGGCCTTAACATGGTCAATATCACACATTTGCTTACATTTGAATAGTGACCTAGAAATCAGGCAGAATCCTCGATTCACTTTCTTTTACATTTTTTTTTTTAATTCTAAAATTTCTCTTTGTTTCCATGATTACATGAAAAAAAATCCTGGTTTTTCATTGTGGTCTTACACTTTTGTACCACACTGTATGTACAGGATGTTTTATAATGTTTCTCGTTTCATCAGATAAAGTATCATGAGGAGTTTGAAAAGAGCCGAATGGGAGGAGAGGCCCATCCCTTTGACAACAATGCCGGTAAAGGTATTAATAAATGTATTTTGGAATATCATTGCTGAAATGTATGCTTTATGGAAGAAGGGAAAAAATCTTCTTAACTTTAATGCATGTTAATGTAACAAGATTTTATTACAAGTAGTTTTAGACCATTTCAGTACTAACACTAGAATGCAACTTGTAAATAAAGTAGAGCTAAAGTAAAATGAAAGGAGTCCATTTGTCATGAAATGTTTACACAGTGTTTGTCTTATTTTTCACTTCTTTTGGAGAATTATTGCACATAACAGACAGGGGTATCATACCTGTGAATGAACCATGTTCTTTTTTTTCTGTGCAGCCTATCAGCCTTCCAGCCCTCAGAAGGGCAACTATGAGCCCCAACCCCCACGCTCTGCTGCAGCTCCGCCGGCTTCTGGTGGTGGGGTATGGAATTTCACCCTTTCATTTGCTCCTCAAAATGCACTTAAAAACAAAATACACAATATGGACAAAAGTATTGGGACACACCTCTTAATGAATTCAAGTGTTTCATTCCGTCCCATTGTCACAGGTACATAAAATCAAGCACCTAGTCATGCAGTCTGCCTTTACAAACATTTATGAAAGAATAGATTGTTGTAAAGAGCTCACTGAATTCGAGCATGGTATTGTAATAGGATGTCACCATTGCAACATGCAAGTTTTTTTTGTGTGTGAAGTGTTGGCCTAGACTCCTTAGTTCCAGTGAAGGGAAATCTTAATGCTTCAGCATACTAAGACATTTTAGACAATTGTAAGCTTCCAACTTTGTGGGAACAGTTTGGGGAGGTCCTTTTCTGTTCCAGCATGACTGAGCCCCAGTGCACAAAGCAAGGTCCATAAAGGCTGGGTGAGTTTGGTGTGGAAGAACTTGACTGGCCTGCACAGAGTCCTGACCTCACCTCCATTGAACACCTTTGGGATGAACTAGAACAGAGATTGCGAGCCAGGCCCTCTCTTCTAACCTCAGCATCTGACCTCACAAATGCTCTTCTAGATAAGTGGGCAAAATATTCTCACAGACACACTTCAAAATCTTGTAGAAAGCTTCCCAGACGAGTGGAGTGAGACCAACTCTATATTAATGCCCATGGATTTAGAATAGGATGTCATGAAAGCTCCTATAGGTGTAATTTGTAGGTGTCCCAATTCTTTTGTCCATATCGTGTAGTTTGGCAAAGAATCTGATTTACATACTTTCCCCTTACCACAGATGTATTTGATCAGAAAGGACATGTTTGGTGTCTGAAGTCTGCTTCTTTAGTTTTGCACTGGAGCTGTAAGACTAATGTGACTAACAAGTAATTGAACTTGTAGAAAAGGCTACACCTTAATCACTTGTGTCGTCTCATCTCCTCTCCTGTTTGCTTATGTTGCATGTGTAAGGTTGAACTGATTTCTGGGCCAGGTTTGCTGCAGAAGTCAACAGTTCTGTTCACTCAGTCTCTCGACTCTCCGAGAACTCATCTGATAAACTTCATTGGAGCTAATAAAGTAATGGAAACACCCATAAAGGGCCCGTATCGTGGAAAGCCAAATCGTCAGCAATTTTTTAAAAATAAAATAAGGTAGATAAACACTCTTAAAGTTTAAAAACATTCACTCCCCAGTCTATGGAGTCCATATATGTAAAAACTGCTCGTTTTAAATTCACCAGTTTTGTGATGTCACGAAAACTTAAAGCTTACACATTCACATTACATTTACAGGCCTTTTCAGCCAACAGCAGTTCAGCCCTGCCTTTTTATGCTGAAGTTATGAGGAATGTTGCCACCCAGACTACTTTTTGAATAAGGCACAGTACAGGGAAACCTATCAGAACAGAGCTCATTGACATACATCAGTCTTAAAGCCACAGTAACAAATACAGCCGGTTTAATTCTAACTTGATTAAGTAAGGTTGTCATGTGAAAAGAAGTTATGACTGTTTTCAGTACATAAACCCACATAAATGTTATAAGGGGACCTTAGGGAAAAAATGAAATACAGGAAAAATGTAGGATATGGGTGCATCTGGAATTCCCCCAAGGGGAAATGGCGAGGTCAAGTGGATGAGGGCATGTTAAAACCAGTACTGAACCAGTGGCAGGTATGAACAGAGCCTGTGAGATTACTTAACAGCTTAGCACAACGTGTGATGATAATGCTAATTAGTGGGGAATTAGCTTCTATTCCTTAGCTATTCTATTCGTTAGCTACCTTAGCCTCATAGCTCCAGTTTACAGCTATAAAGGAAACAAGCTTGACACCAAACAGGTCTTGACTGATTACCTACATTTGGTTAGTGTGCAAGTGTGTAAATTTGCTTTTTGGCAGAACGCTCACTTTTAATAATTCAGTCGCCCATGTTGAAAAAAACGGCTTAGACTGGCGTTAATTCCATGCTGGTCTATGGTTGTCTGGTGCTGGTTTAACAGCATGATTTTGTCAGTTTACTGGCACATCAGCATCCAAAACAAAACATATGCTGGTGTTGCTGTGCTGTTTCCGGCAGTTAATGTCCACTGAAATGTTCGCTCAGCGGTAATCTCTCTATGTGTGTCTGTGTTTGTGTTCAGAAGCGCTACAGAGCGGTCTACGACTATGTGGCGGCTGATGAGGATGAGGTGTCCTTTGCGGATGGAGACGTGATCTTGGACGTGCAGCAGATAGATGAGGGCTGGATGTTCGGCCGCGTCGAGCGCACTGGCCAGCAGGGCATGCTACCTGCCAACTACGTTGAGGCTATATGAGCAAGAGTCGGGAGAGAGGAGGAGAAGGATACAGGAGGGAGGGATGCACAGAGGAACAAGCCGTGTACCATCTACACTTCAGATTTATTACTCCCCGGTTCATTTCACTATTTGTTTAACTTGGTCTTAATTAGATGAGAGAAACTTGATCAGGCATCTAAGCTTTGGCTAGTTAGAAACAATGCTAATACGCTTAAAGTAAAAACTGCTCCTGTCAGCTGAATGAGTGAGGTTTTATTTTTTTTTGTTTAGTTTTTTGTTTTGTTTGTTTTTGTTTACCCTTTATTTCATTTACTCTCCCTTTTCCAGTGCAGTAAAGTTTGTTGGGTTTATGCATTGCTTTGCCTTTGCGTTGAAAAGTATGGCTCAGTTTGTTCTCCATATGTGGATTCAAAAGTGTTGCAGTGGAAAGTGCTGAAGTGCGATGTCTTTCAGGGTGATGAGTTCTAGAAATTAAGGTTAAGGCTGCAGTGTATGTTGGGAAATGCAGTTTCAGGCAGTTGCTTATCTGAACTGCTGGATGAGTGGCCAGCACTCATCGCTCAATCATTGTCTTAATCGACAAAGTCTTAATCACAAGCTTGTTATAGCAAGCACTGCAGGCGGGTGGGGGAAGCCCTTTAGAGTTCTTTTTATGCACTTTGAGGGAAAAAAAAATACCAACAAAAAATAAGGGTTTTATATGAAAAACGGATATGGTACAGTAATTTACTGAAAACGTCATCCTGAATTGAAAAAAGCAACCATAACAATTGAGGTTTTATAGAATTCTGAGTATATATTAGCATAATCAGTGACTTATCATTCCATTGTTATTTTGTAATGAAGCATTCCAATCCATGATTATATTAAATAAATAACTGATTATTGAAGCACATAGTGTTTATTCTTTTCCTTTTTTTTTAACCACAGAAATGAGGATCAGTAAAGATGATGGAAAATCTGCCATCCTGTTTTAAGACATTTTATAAAAGCATACAGCGCTGCAGTCTTGGGCACGAAATATTTTTAAAACCTTTTATCTGGGCAGTGTGTTTTTTGCCACCATATAGAATAAATACAATCAAACGACAATGCAGAAAAAATGACAAGAATTTTTTGTTTTCAAAAAAGAAAATGAGATGTGAGCTAGTTTGAAGAACACAGGTTTGGTTCTAGATTTCTCCTTGACACCTCTATTCATCACTTACAATTGTTCAAATCCACCACTGTTGCATCTGATTTAACTCAATAAATGACTGATTCAGCCAAAACAGGTATTGAACGACAACTACAAATAACGCTGTGCTGGCTTGAGGAGAGGATGTAAACTGGTTATGCAAACACACTGCCATATGTGAAATCACAACTTATTTTAATTTATTCTAATATTAATGTTTTTTTGAGCAAATAAATTCCCAGATTACTGCCCAGATAAGTAGCTTTTTAATACAATTTTCTCAGAGAACAGTGCACCAACTAACACAGGGTAAAATGTAGCATGAATATTTTACATACCTAAACAGATTCAAGTAGAATGTGCTTTTGGTCATCCTGTGTTCCCACAGCAACATCATCTTTAAACTTTGGTTAGTCAGCAATCAGATATTTCTCACATTTGTTTTGGACCTCAAAAGTAACTCTTTTCATCAAAAGTCACAGAATTCAAACCAATATTACTTTAATTCTTTTTTGGTGGCTGATTAAAAAGCATGGCATTTCAGACATTTATTGCAATAATTATTTGCTTTTCAAGATACAGTAAACATTTACAGCTAAACATCAACAATATACATCTCTGCAGATTCCTTTAAAACCAAGGCACATCTGTTGTCATTTTATGTACATGATAATACAAAAGAGGTACATAGTAATAACCTGTTAGCATTTATGAACAAAGCTGCTAATAATTTCCAAGATAGAAAATATACATTCCAGTCTTTCTGTTGTTTCTAAATGCATGTTGCAACAGTAGACCAGAAGAAGATGATACAATGCTGTTTACGCAATATCCATGTGTGCTCATGTGAAGGTGGTTTTCTACTGCTGTTTCGTAAGTGTGCTGAAGTACGACATCCTCTTGTGAAGTGTTTCCTGAACTCGGAGCGGTAAGCATGATGCTAGCTCCTGTAGAGCAGATGCGTGTTTTCCTATGCAGTCCTCACATAATCTATGAAAAGGAAAAATGGTTCATTAAGGCAAACATCATTACTGGAAAAGCCTTATGTCTGCAGAGCAATACCTGACTGTATTGCAGTATCCTATTCTATTCTAGAAAAAATGCCAAGGACCCATGTAAATGACCTGGTAGCCTCTGTCTGCCCCCTATTGCCAGTGGAATGGAAATCAACTCATATCACAGATATTTTTAATTAATCAAATCAAATATTTTTTCACTGTAACTTATCAGATTAAGCTCTTAAACATCCCAAGAATGATTATTCAGTAATTACATGATAAACAATGCATAGTGGCTTGGTTATTCTTAAGTTAGAAAGAAACCCCCTGCTGTGAAAACAATTCACACCACTCCACAAAGATAGTTATGCCCACATGAAACAGGTAGCACAACTACAGCTTTCTTCATATTAAAAAATGGTGTACAACTGCTACAATAAATACTAGCATTCAAACACAATAACACACTTTAATAAATGTAGTCTTGCAAGCCTGCCTAAGAAAATGAAAATGCAGCTGACTTCTGATATTATAAATAATATATTCCTTCAGGGTTACTGAAGAAAAAACCTCCAAACCATTTTATGGCTACTGTGAAGAGAGGTTAAATAGTCTTTAAGCAGTCACTGGAAAAGCTGGAGCTCTTGTAACTTTATATGTCTGAACTGGTAAGTTTTAGAAGAAGGAAAAATGTTTTTTTAATTTACTGTACAACCCCATTTCCAAAAAAGTTGGGATGCTGTCTGAATGTAAAAAAAAGAAGGGGGCAATAATATGCAAATCACTTAAACCATGTGCCAAATTTTATCAGTGATGACAGGTCTGAAGTGCAAGCAGGCCAGTTTAGCACCCAGACTCTTTTAATACGGAGCCATGCTGTTGTTATACATGCAGAATGTGGTTTGGCATTGTCTTGCTAAAATAAGCAAGGCCTTCCCTGAAAAAGACGTTGTCTGGATGGCAGAATATGTTACCAAATCATGTATATATCCTTCAACATTAAAGGTGCTTTCACAGATGTGACATCACCCTTGCCATGTGCACTAATGCCCCCCATACCATCATGAATACTGGCTTTTGAACTGTGTGCTGATAACAAGACTTTAGCCCAGAGGACACAATGTCCATGATTTCCAAAAAGAATTTCAAATGTTGATTTGTCAGACAACAGGACACTTTTCCGCTTCACCTCAGTCCATTTTAAATGAGCTGAGGCCCAGAGAAGGTGGCAGCATTCCTCAATCCTGTTTATATACAGTTTCTTCTTTACGTTTTAGAGTTTTAACTTGCATTTAAGGTTGCAGTGATGAACTGTTTTTACAGACAGTGGTTTTCAGAAGTGTTCCTGAGCCCATGCAGTGATTTCCACTACAGAATCAGTCTGTTTTTAAGGCAGTGCCATCTGAGGACCCAGATCAGAGCCAGTAAATACTGGTTTTTGGCCTTGTCCCTTGCATACAGAGATTTCTCCAGAATTCCAGATTTCTCTGAATCTTTTAATGTTATTATGTACTGTAGATGATGAAAAGCAAAATTTCTTTGCTATTTTACATTGTGAAACGTTATTCTTGAATTGTTGCACTATTTGCCCAAGCAGTCTTTCACAGAGTGGTGAACCCCTCCTCATCTTTACTTCTGAAAGACTCAGCCTCTCTGGGATGCTCTTTTATACCCAGTCATGTTACTGACCTGTTGTCAATTTGTCAATTTTAGCATTACACAATTTTACCAGCCTTTTGTTGCCCCTATACCAACTTTTTTGGAACGTGTTGTTGGCATCAAATTCAAAATGGGCATATATTTTTCAAAAAACAATAAAATTTCTCGGTTTTAACATTTGATATGTTGTCTTTGTGCTATTTTCAATGAAATATAGGGTTTAAATGATTTGCATGTCAGTGCATTTTGTTTTTATTTACATTTTGCAAAGCGTCCCAACTTTTTTGAAAATAGGGTTGTACATTAATGTAGCAAGATTTTATTCCAAGTAACTAATGAAATCTAAGTAATTCTATTGTTCTGTTGGTCTGTTCAGTATGAAATGTAGAGGATAGCTAAGTTACAAGACTCTGATATCACAGTGACGTCTGAAAACATATCAACAGGCACAACTAAGGCATCACAACTGGCTTGATTCATTTTAGAAGTTGCCCTGTTGCTGCTGGGGTCTGAAAGCGCTCACCTGGACAGGGAGTAGGGCTGCGTCTGAAACACCAGCACATCTCTGCAGTGGCTCTGAGACGGACGCCTGAGTGCTGCAATCTGAGCAGAGAGATCCGTGGAAATTCATAAAATGACAAACATATAACGTTTTTATTGATTCACTGGGTGAGCTTTTTGTAAAGACCGATAATTGCAGTATTTTCTTTAGAGGTGTAACAGTTAAATATACAGTCAAGGCCTCAGCTAATTCCCAAGTGAAAAGACTTCACCTCCCACAGTGCTTTGAGCTAGTGCATAATCTTTATTTGTAGAGGCTTACAAGTGCAGTACAATAAATAAAATGTACACATAACAGCCCAACGTCACCTAAACATCCTGCTGCTCTTCCAGACTACAATAAATGTGTCATCAAATATCAGTTATGTCACTCAAGTCTAACTATCTATCCAAAGCATATTATTTTTATTATAATTCTGACATCATTGTGCATCCCTAGCAAAAGACTGAAGACTAATTTTTCTCTCCACAAAAGACTCAGATTAAAGTATGTTCTCTTCCACTTACAAACACAAATGTGGTATTGACTGAACGTTTAGAATCTGCATGTTCTCTGCTTCTTGTAATAAGCTAGAAGTGACACATAATTTAAATCTAACTACATTGTGCCTTTGCTGTCACCTGATACTTAATGTTAAAATACTTAACATTTAAACTTTACTGTCTCTGAATGTTCTTGTGAATCATCTTATTGTGATGTGCCAAGTTTAGAGACTACCCTTTCTATAATTGGTTTTAAATGTAAAACGCTCATTGAGTACAAGTACAAAAGCCTCCAAAGTATTCTATCACATCTGTCAGCATTTAATTTGTCCACTCTTTACTTTTGTGCACCTGCTGCACTTTAACTGTTCCATCCTTCCACTCCTAAAATCATCCAGTTACAGCTGCTCCGAAAGCTCTCACTGACATTCTGCTATCCTTCAAAAAGACTCTAACATTCACACAAGCTTAACTACCCAAACACGCCTTAACTGCATTTCTCTTGTGCGTCTAAAATGGATAAAGGATACATTTCTGAAGAGGCTGTATATAGGAAAATCCACTTGCATAACGAAGGGGAAAGTTAAAGGGAACTGAAAAAAAGTCTAAAACTGAGACAACTCAACACTATGAGTCTGAAAGGATGTGTAGCTGACAAGAGGCCCTTACTGACAAAAGAAAATAGACCAAAAATAAGATCATTTGCCCTATAACACTAGAAACTGGACAGAGATGTGAGATATGAGTCATGTTTTATGGACTGATGAGTCTAAGTTTGTAATTGGGATTACTGAATTGTGAGAAGCAGAAAATGCAAGCAAGTTCTTAAACTGAACTTTGGAGGTGTGGAAAAATATCCCTGCAGATTTATTTGAAAAAAACTGAAAACAAGGCTCCAGAAACACATGGACGCTGTAACAAAGGCAAAGAGTGGACAAAAAAAAAACATTTTCAGTGTAATTTTCTTTTTCTCTCATTAAATATAATGTCTTTCTGCTTGTTCCCAATACTGAAAAACAAATAACTTGTACTTAATGGCTGTATGAATGAAAATGCACTGTATGAAATGTACTGTGTTACTGCTTTTAATGAAGGGCTCTCTTTTACCAAATGTACATACCGAATCCATTATCACGACATAGTCACTGCTTCCTCCAAAAACCACCACATCGTTGTCCTTCCCCTGTACTGCTGAATGCCATAACCTATGTGTAGATACAGTCAATCAGCAAAGCAAAATCTTTTCTTCAAAATGTCCCTTGCTAAGGTCACACAATCAATCTTACCTGGGCTTGTCTTTGTGAGGATGCTGCCTCTCTTTCCATTCTCCCGTTGCAGTGTCAAATTCCCAGCTATCATCTAATTAGGGGCAAATTACAGCATTTGCAAAAAGCATTATGGCAGCACATGTATATGTGCACCAATAAAACCTTTGAATTCTGAACTTACTGAGAACCTGTCCAGAAGTGCTGAGACCACCGAAAAGGAAGAGTGTGTTGTGTGACATAGGGGTCAGCGTGTGTAGAGAGCGGCCTTTTGGCAGAGAATTGGCCAGGGGCTCCCTGAAATCACACACAGAAATCCACACAACAAGTTACCTGCATAGTAGTTTTAGAGTGGCTCCTGAATAATAAGTCTTAAAAAATTAATAACTGAATAATAAGCCTACAGTTTAAGGCATTTATTTAAAGATAATTTAAATTTATTTAAAGATATTTAGAGAGACAATTCAGCCAAAACAAAAAATGTAACCATGGTTATATCAGTTGTATACATGCCTACTCGTCTCATACCTCAGTGCCCAGGTACTCTCTAAACCAGACTTCCTGGTTTAAAAACTAGGAAAACCCTCTTCTGATGATGTATCTTGAAGGCGGAAATAAATTGAGAAAGACAAGTGGTTTGTTGCAGACGCGTGGCTGTTTGAATGTTGTTGTTTTTTTGTTTTTTTTTGATGCCTAATTTTTCAACTGAATTATTCCTTTAACAACAGAATAAGTTTGAAGCCAAATTGAAGCTAGAGCTATAATGCTAGTTAGCACCACAGATTTATTTATTTGTCTCGAGATCAGTCGCTAGCTGTCAGGATTTGTTGAGTGCTGTAGGGATAATGATATAGTGGTGTCAGAGCATGCTCTTGTTCCCATGATGCTTTGCTCATACTTAGCTGGACTGTGTTTAGTTCTTATAACAGAAAATAAAAGTTTTTGGTTGCATTTTCAAGTATGCGATTCGGGTAGGTACTGTGTTTGGGAGTGTTAGCTACAGTCATTCAGGTTTGGGTCCTTATTCATAACCCTGGCAGGATTCTGTAGTGGGCTGTGGCCGTGCTATAGGTTTAAACAGAGATTTCCTCTCTGCGGAGATAAGAGTGATTCTCCTCCCTTGTACTCTGGCTGCCGAGTCACTTCTAAAGCTATGATATGGGTATGAATTCTGAGTTGTCTATGCTTCTTCTGTGGACCCCCCATGCTACAATATATTTGCATAGTGTATGCTGGGTATTACAGTGTGAGAACACTGATGGACAAAAAACACATAAAGGACATAAAGGAGTTGAGGGGTGCAATACTGCACTATACAACAAAATACATAGTGTGTGTGTGTGTGTGTGTGTGTGTGTGTAAAACCATAACAACCATATGATAGCAAATTTGCAAGCCATTCAAATTAGATAGACCTGAGAGTTCATGTGCAGAGACGATGATGAATGATGATGATGAATAGTGTGTGGGCTTCAGTCCTGTGCCGCCTTTGTACCTTCAGTGTTTAGAAAAGTGATGGTTGTGTTTTCTTTAGAAATCCATTAACCACAGTGTAATATTGTACCCAGCATCTGGAATTTCTCACTTTTTTCAGACGGGCAGAAGGATGTCTAAGTTATACAACCACTACTGTTTTTCTCAAGACCAAAGAATCAAGAAAAGAGGTCAAAATCCTCTTATTTGGAACAAAATTGACACCACAATAACTTATTACCTAGACTATCCAGAGGTCCTGATCAATGTTCAACAGAGCCATCACTTGATACGCACTGTATTTTATAACTAAACACTGCAAACTAATACAGTCTTTTGATATTCTCCAAATGCACTTACTAAATTGACCAGGTTTTGCCCACTTTCCAAGACTTGCTCCATTTAAAAGCATACAACCATGTGAGCTGGGGCAACTGGACTGTCTTTACTGCTTTGGCTTGTAATAATGATTCAATTACAGCATTTGCCAATTATAATACTGCACAGATACTTTTGCGGCTGTTACATTCACAGTGTTATGCTTCAGACATGTAAGCCATAGAAATTCTATGCTGTGAAACAAAATAATCATATTTTCATTGTGTTCATAATACTGCTGTAAATATTAACAGAGCATTCGAAATATGATGCTGAGAAGTGAGTTTTATAACATCATTTTGCATGTATCAATTTTACACCCAGTACATTCACAGTCTATTCACATATGAATCATTAACTGAAACTTTAAATTTAGCCTGTGCAAGAGCAGGCAGTATGCAAATAGTAACAGCAGCTTTCATATTTGCAAAGGTCTCCCTATTGCTCAGCAACCAGCAGCTAATACAGCTGTATTGTTACTACTCGTCTGCCACTAACCTGCACAGAACAATGAAGTTCATGCCAGTCTGTCTCTATTTGGATGTAAGGGATATGTTTTGTGTTTTTAGCCTGACCAAAGGGCTTTTTGTTGTCAGTTATATGTTCATATAGTGATACCAGTGATGCAAAAGCATTTAAGTCTTCTGCATTAAACATACAGGACTCTATACGGCTGCAGTGGGTTATGTGTTATGTTGGCTTTTAGCTAACTACATGTCTCAGTATGTTTGACATACATGGTTGATCTTTAATCAACTATAAACCAGACTAGACAAAACAGAACATTATCTATGTGGCAAGAACATTTTTATTTAACTCTTTAAGTAGGCCATCACAGGAAAAGGCAAGGACAGTACTCACATATGGGACCATGTCCATGAGACCAGGTCTAAACAGTGAATGTCTATAGTTTCTGTTTCCTGGAATGAGAAGAATTTTTTGTAAATATTACTCATGGCAAAACGATGGCCTGTACAACCTTCATTTATTTATTTTCCAGTCAAAATGGCCATTAATTTCAGTGCAAGTTATTATTTTTTGCATCAGAGAAAAAACAGTTTTGATATTTATTGTGTGCTCTCTTTGCCTTTATTACAACTTCCATTCTTTTTAGGACACTTGCTTTCAGTTTTTCAAAGAAATCTGCAGGGATATTTTACCAAAGTTCAGTCTTAGAAGTTGGTTGAATTTTCTGCTTCTCACGATCCAAGTAATCCCAAACACATTCAGTGATGTTGAGGTCTGGACTCTGCAGTGGTCAGTCTGTTGTTCTGAGGTTGATTTTCAACTTTCTTTTTTGTCTGTTTCCTTTTCTCAGTAACAGCTTATTTACAGCTACATATCCTTTCAGACTCATAGTACTGAGCTGTTTCAGGTGTTCCACACCTGTGGACAGGAGCTTGATTTCCTCTCTCTTAAAAAATTAAAGCTTTAAGTACTGTTTATCTGGTGGTCACAGTTTTGGTGATCTACCAGGTCTTGTACAAAAGTCAGTAGTCCCATTTTCTCTGTATCTTTTAATCATTTTTTGAACTCTGCCTTTTAGAAACTTATGTTTTATTGCTTATTGCCCTTTTACTTTCCTCTTTCTTATAAATGTGGATTATCTAATATCTAATATCCTCAGGAATGTCTCCTGAAAAGTGAGTAAATTGTACCTAATGGCCATTTTGACTGGAAATTAAATAAATGAAGGGTGTTCTCTGGCTTTTGCAAAGTACTGTAAGCTTCCTGTTTTGACTGTTAATTAGGATAAAGTACAACATTAAAGAGCAACCAATATGACAACCATACAACTGAAAACAACTTCAAAGTTCTGTGGTTGTCCAAATGTAATATCCAGTTCTCACACTCTTGTTTTCTTTAAAACAGGCAATAGTTGAACCAGGAAGATAACATTGACACCTCATTTTGATCATATTTTGGGAAAACTGCAGTTACTGTTTTTTCCTTTTTTACAGCAATTCTGTCATCTACTCACCAGTCCTCCACAGATGTAGCCCTTGTTGCCCAGAGTGGCACTAGCATGGGATGACCTTGGCTCAGGAGGCTGGCCCTGCCATAGAGGAACAATAATAACAGGAAAACAAATCAAAATCTCATTAGACGCTTCTAATCAGGTCCTCTTTTTGACTCTTCTGTAATAACGGTTTTGCTGGAATGCGTCCCTTTACCTGGGTTTGTGGCTCAGTCCATGTGGCAGAGCTGGGCTCAAACATATAAACTTCATTATTCCAGCCCCAGAACTGGAAAAACTCACTACCAATAACCGCCTATGGAGAAAACAAAATGCGCCACAAAAGGCCTAGAGTTAAACTCACCATTGGGACTGAAAAATGTGTTGAATTTATTTGATTCGAGTGTACAGTTTCTTTATAGTAAGTCTTTTTCTCATAGTAAGACTTTCAGTTTACTTTTCAGTATACCTGTGTTGATTTTTAATCAAAAGCAATTAAACTGAATGACGAAATCATGTTGATGCCTTATATTTTATTAATGTGTAAACGATGTAGACATTTGAATCAAACAGATTTAACATATTTCTGTTTTCAGAACAGGAGCTACTGTATCTGTCCTTACCCATGAGGTCTCGTCCACTGTGAAGCTCTTGAAGTTGCTGACCTGTCTATCTTTTTTGCATCCATATCCACCAAAATAAATGAGCCTGAACAAATAAAATACAGATGTACGTATTACAAACGAGCTGCATTCTACCTTTATTTTTGCTTACACCATACCATTAATTACAAAACTTAAACGATCACAGCATGTAACCTCGTTACTTGTACTATTCAGCTAAAAAGTTTTATTTGTGTGCTTGTTTTGCAGTAATTTAACCCCTTAAGCTCCAAGGAACCCATATGTAGGTCCACAGTTACTTTACAAATTAGTTTTATAGTAGTTACTGTATAATTCACACTAGCTATTGAATAGTAAGTCTTAAGATTAATACAGAATAAAAAAGCCTAGGGTTTAAGGCAGAGGTGGCCAAACTTTTTGTCTTGTGTGTCCAAACTGCAAAGGTTGTGGTGCCAAAAAAAACAAAAATATAAAGAAAAATGTGATTCAAAAAAATGTGTTTAAACATGACACTATTTTGTTATTAAAATACTTCAATAATAAAACGTAAAAAGAATGTAAGAATTCAATAAATTGTATATAGTATAAAAATATGTTGGCTCTCTCATTGGGTGAGGGGTAGCATAAGTGTAACTTTCTGGAATGGCCAAATCAAATGTCCTCACAGGCCACCTTTAAAGCCCTGGTTTAAGACGTTAAATGACTGATGAAGTCACACTGAGACTTTATCTCTTGTAAAAATGGCTACACCCACAAGTGTTCAGCTCCATTTGAAAACAAATTTTATTGTAATCTATAGTTAATGTCTTCCAAACTCTAGACTACATTAAATGTAATGTTTTTTTTACATTTTTGCATGGGTATGCTTGGAGTCCTTTCAAATACCTGTCCTTGTAGACCCAGCAGGAGTGCCTGTCTCTGGGGGAGGGAGGGGTTCCCACATAGCCTGTCACTTTCTTCCAGGTGTACTTTCCATCCTGCAAGTCTACACAATACATCTGTCAAAACAGCACAAAATAAAAATTGTTGGAAAAGAGCACAAACCACACTAACATTGTCATGTCGACCTGATGTGGGTCAGTGGTTTTAGTCACCTCAGTCAGTTCATCTTCCTGTATAACTAACTGAGTATAATGAATGTGGTTAGTACTATCATAAGTAAATGTTTGAAGGCCCCTGGTCATAAGTGAAAATATGTAAATAATAAGTTTATGAAAATAAGCCAATAGCAATGATCACACTTCTGCACATTTTAATGCCCAATTACTGTTTTTTCACTGAACTGTAAAAACATAAAACATAAACTATGGCTTGTGCAAAATGTCACATTTTATATTTTATGTTTTATTGTTTCTCAATATGTTAAACCCAGAAAATAAATAGGAACTGTGCACTAAATTTAGCACAAAAATGCCAGAAATTTATACTTCTTTTGCAGACGACTGTAAGTGAAGTAGGGTCTAGAGTATGTTATCTGGAAGTGGTAAAACTTTCATGCTTTTATTCTTACCCATCCTCTTCATCACTCAGAGGCAGGGCTGTACAATAAGATTAAGTGACCCTTATTAGTCCCACAACAGGGAAACTTCACCTCCGCAATCTAAACCATCCATGCAGTGAGACACCACATACACACTAGTGAACACACACACTGGGGGGCAGTGAGCACACTTGCCCGGAGCAGCGGGGGAGCAGTTTGGGGTTGGGTGCTTAGCTCAAGGGACGCTCACCTCAGTCACGTACTGTTGGTTTAGGGGATCGTACTGGTGACCTTCTGGTTGCAAGGCTGGTTCCCTAATCTCCAGTCCATGACTGCCCCCACTGATACGAACACTTTACTTGATTTATGTTATTTAAACAGACAACTGATTTTTCATTATTAATAATGTTCTTTATACTGTGATTTTAAACAGAAAATACTGTGAATGTGCTACTGTGTTTTCATAGTCCACACAGTGTGAGCTTTTGTTAAAAAAAAAAAAGCTAATAAAAAACATCCGCCAATTTGGCTCTAAAGAAATCAGATTCGGAACAAACCATACAAAATCATGATTGGTGCATCCCTAGAGGCAATATTTGTAATATTCGGCTTCTTCAGTCACAATACAAGCTAAGCACTTGTTGCATATCTGTGCAACAGGTGTGTATCGTGTTTTCTTTCATGCATTTGCCTGGACAAACATGTTAGACCACTTCTTTAATAATGGACTGCCTGTTTCAGATGCTCCACTCAGTAGCTATGCGGCCTGCAGCTATGGAAGTAGAAAGAGTTTAAAAAAGATTCTAAATAGCGTTGTGTAAGCTCTAAATCTTTTTGACTCTTTTTTTTATTTCTTCACTCATTTATTTGACAGGTACAACAGAGATAAACACTTTTGTGTGAAAAGGCAGCAGCCTATAGCAGTGTACTGTACAAATAGCTTCTAGCCAAAGCTCATTTAAATGCTTTTGATTCCATTCATACCTGGCAAAAACAGCTCACCTGGTTGGTGTGGCCATTGCTGTCACAGCCCCCGAAAACATAGAGCACACCCTGGAGGAACGAGCCACATGTCTGAGAGAGCAGAGGAGGAACCTCCCCACCCATTCCCCTGCGAGCCCTGATACACAGACACAAAATCTTAGGGGAAAGAAGGTTGTTTGCATTCAGTGTTGTTGCCACTAGTGGCATAAAGCAAAACTCCAAAGTCATTTCATGGTTGCATGCAAAAAGAACAAAACCATTCACCAAGCCAAAAAGACACGAGCACAAAACAGGTTGCTAAAAATATGTGATAAAAGGCCTTTCAAAGGAATTCATTATCCCTTTGTATTGCATGGGATCTGTGGCTGAATACAAGCCGGGGATTTTAGGATCACACACTTATTGAAGAGAACGCTGTGTGTGTTCGATATCAAAGTAGAATACATGAGTCTGAGTAATGCTGGTGGTAATGAGAGAGGAATTCAGCTCAGAGAAAAACCAGACAGGTGTGTTTTTCACCTCACCAGAGTCCACTTTCCATATCATAGAGCCAGATCTCATCACTGGGTAGAACAACTTCTTCTCCATTCACATACTGAGCAAAAAAGAGCAAAGCAGAGGCAAACAATACTCAATAATGTCCGGTTGAACTTGGAAGGAGAATAAAAAAACATCAAAGCTGGTGAGAAAAAGAAATGAACTTGGTGAACTTTGCATTGATAAAAGTGTTTTGAATCAGCTCGAGTGAAACATGTACATCAATTCCATGATTAAATATATTACAGCAGCAGTTGTGTGTTTTGACAATGTGCTGATTTATGATTTATGTGGAAATGATGAACACATTTGAGTCAAGTAAGTTGAACGCAGCACTTTTTGGGTTCAGTCTAGGTGAAATGTCACTGATGTAACGTGTAGTCCGTCCCTGTAACCTTATATCACATGCACTGACTACAGTAGGTGTGATGTGTAGCTCGTACTGGCGTGATTTTACCTGACAGCCTCCCCACACGTACAGCACATTTCCAAACAGGACAGCCGTGTGGTCACTCCGAGCTGGAACCTCCATCAGCCCCGCCGTGTTTGTCAGCGCACTGCTCTCGGTCAGTGATGAAGCTCAGAGCCGCTGGGTGAAGCAGGAACAGGAATTAGCTAGGACTGCACTGTTTACACTCAGGATGGGTATGCTAACAGGAAACTCTGAGGGACAACCTCGACTGGGAGAGAGAGAGCGAGAGAGAGAGAGCGAGAGAGAGAGAGAGAGAGAGAGGCAAAGGAAAAACGAAATGTGTTGAAATGTATTGTTTTTAACCTTTACCCTCTGCTGCTCTTGCGGAATGTAAATAGTCTAAATCCAAATCCACACGTGGCTGGACGTATTTTCGCTGAGGAATGTATCCCGAGATACAATCGGGTTCATAAGTATTTGGACAGTGACACAGCTTTTGTCATTTTGCCCCTGTACACCACCACAATGAATTTAAAACGAAGCAGTCAATGTTGACTGAAGTGTAGACTTGTAGCTTTAAATCAAGGGGCTCAACAAACATATTGCATTAACTGTTTAGGAATTACAGTCCTTTCATTTTCACAGGCTCAAAAGCAGTTTCGTGGTCAGGTGTGTCCTGTTTCCTCGTTATTTCGTGACAGGTTAGGGAGATAAAAGGTCTGGAGTTGATTCCAAGTATTGAAAATGCATCTGACTGTTGGTGGGAGTGAAGGGGGCCATCATTGGGCCTGAAAAACAAACAAAAAAAACCCTCAGAGAGATAGCAGAAACTTTAGGAGCGGCCATATCAACAATTTGGTACATTCTTAAAAGGAAGGAGTGGACTGGCAAGCTCAGCAACACCAAAATGCCTGGAAGACCACAGAAAACATGAAAAGACATTCTAGAGGACATAAGCATATCATTGTCAAAGTCTACAATCAAGAAATGACCGCATAAATGTAAATACAGAGGGTTTACCTCTATGTAAACCATGGATAACACTCAAGAACAGAAAGGCTAGACTTTGCTAGAAAACATCTACAAAAGCCTTCTCAGTTCTGGAACAAGATTCTTTGGACAGATAAAAACCAAGGTTAACTTGTACCAGAATGATGGGGAAGAGTATGGAGAAGGAAAGGGAGGTCTCATGATCTAAAGCATGGAATTGGGTGCCGATGGAATTGGGTCACTGGTGTTTATTGATGATGTGACTAAAGAAGCAGGATGAACTGTAAAGAGCTCTACCTTCTGCTCACGTTCAGTCAAATGCTGCAAAACTGAAAGGATAGTGCTTACCGTAAAAGCAGCCCAAGAGCTTCTTAAGGCAAAGAAATTGAATGTTCTTAAGTGGCAGAGTCAGTCACCTGACCTCAACCCAACTGAGTATGCTTATCACTTACTGAAGACAAAACTGACGGCAGAAAGACCCACAAATAAGCAGCAACTGAAGGCAGCTGCAGTAAAGGCCTGTCTAAGCATCTCAAAGGAGGAAATTCAGCATTTGGTGAAGTCTATGGGTCCCAGACCTCAGGCAGTCATTCACTGCAAAAGATTTGCATTCAAGTTTTAAAAATAATCCTTGTATTTATGATTGTTAGTTTGTCCAATTACTTTTGAGCTTATGAAGATGAAGGGACTATGTAGAAAATTGAATATTCTTGATAAACCCCTTGAATTAAAACTTAAATTAAAATCTACACTTCAATCACATCTTGACTACTTCCTTCCAGATCCATTGTGGTGGTGTACAGAGGCAACATGACACAAATAGTGTCACTGTCCAAATACTAATGACTTATATAATACTTATACAGGACCTGACAGTAAGTTTTTCACCTAAATGATCTTATTCTGTTGGAGAAGATGGTGGCATACATCTGAGATTTGCTAGAAATATGTAAACCAAGATTTTTATCTACATACCAAACTAAATCAGTAACAGAGCAACAGCTTGTGGTGTCTTTTATGTTTACCTGCCCAGGGACTGCAGAGGGAAATCAGCTAGTTATTTTGTTATTGGGGTGCCGGTAACTCTTAAAAATATCATTATTATTTCATTTTTCAAAAACATGAATTTTCCTTAAAAATGTGTTAACCAATCTCAGGAACCCATTTTTAAAAGGTCTCTCTGCTGACAGTAGTTTAAATGAATGACAGGGTTGAAAGTAACAGGGTTTTTTAAGCACTGAATTAGCAAGTACACAAAATGTGGTTAATCCAAGCTAATGGTATGAGGACATTAAGAACTTTCTAATGTTTTACGTAAAATGTAAACATCGTCAGTCAATGTCACAGTTAGAGCTGTCAATTTTGGCTGATGATTAAATGTATAAATAAATAATTGTGATTGTTTTTTCTTGTTCATTGTTTACAACACAAGCTTGAAATGGCCAAGTTGCTATTTTTACATGATAGCTAACACTTGTTATTCTGTCGAATCAATACACACTAACACAAATGTTTACAGTTACGTAGTGGCAGAGCCTAGGGGTGTCTAGGGTTAGGGTTAAGTTTCCTTTCCGCCTTAAATGGTGCAGCAGTTACATTCTGACGCCTGTACAGCGCCCAGCTACTACACGATTTAAGGTGGAAGTAAAAATGACCTGGCGAAAAAGAAGCTAGAAGCTTTAGCTTCTGTAGTTTTTTCCTTTTACATCTTACGTCGTATCAAAGTCCGACCCCTGCCAGAAAATAAAACATTAAAATATAAATAAAAAAAAACCAAAAAAAACCCCCGGAAAAGCCGCTGCATTGGGTAGCTTATGTTGCCGTGGTTACAGTCACGGGTCAGGCAGGGAAGTGGAGTTTTTATAGCTTGTAGCTCCATCTGAATATTTGTTTCAAGATGGAGTGCATAGTGTATAATAATAATAATAATAATAATAATAATAATAATAATAATAATTTACTGTTCAGATCAAATATAATTATATGAATGAATTCAACACAATTTTATGTAATTGTAATAAGGCAGTCCTATAAGAAAAAAAAAAACTTACTATGCCAGCATATTAACTTAAAAACATTAGAATTTGCTATATAGTTAGCTAACAAATGAACTAACATTACTCAGAGCTGTCAGCTTTTTTGTTTGTTTTCGTAAGCCCTTTTTGTCTTGGTAAATACATTTACAGCTTTATTTTATTTACATTTATCTATACCCAACACGCCTGATTACACTTCCTAATCCACAGTTTGTTTGTTGCAGCATTACTTGAATGTACAGTCTAACAATAACTGTGGAAAAAGGCACACAGGAAAGAGCTGTAGATACAGTTATTAAACTGAAACAGACACATAGGTTACTTTACCTATGTTTAAAATGTATTTTACCTTTACATGCATATTTGTGAGGGTAATAGGCCTGTCAGTAGGACACAAAAGGCACCTTAACTGTGGACACACCCAGCTTCTCTCTGAGCATTTTCTGTCATTTGAGATAATGAGGTAATCTATATCTTCCCTGACAAAATAAACATAATAAACAGAGGTAAAATAAATAACGTTATCTTCAGCTGAAATATTTCACCTCAGATGTGAGATAAAGTACATTCATGTTTAGATCTAATAATGATACAAAAGTAAGTCATTGTCTCAAGGGAATAACCAAGAATAATGTGAATGGATTAGAGTCATCAAGTACACAAATAGAGATGAGACTCAGAGAAAATGACCATTGCCCTGCAGTGATTTTAGGAACAATTATGTAGCATCTGCTGGGAGGCAAACGACCATTAGATGTCGCCATCTTACAAGTTAAAGTCTCTTGATCGAAGTGAGTGCAGTAGAAGTCCTAAAGTGAAGTGTGTAGTTTTGCTCATGTCTGTTTTACTTCCAAGCAACAGCTGTTCAGACACATTAACATGAGCAGGAAGGCTTGAAGAAAGCTAAAGGAAACTGAGTAGAGATTTTGAAAAAAAAATGCTTTGTAACTATTTGCTGTCTATCTGTATTTACCTCTAACACTGTGGATGTAAATTAGTTTGTATTTATTCCAGCTTTTCAGGTTTCATGTGAGGGCTGTAGTCAGCCAGTTTAAGGCAGTGAGGTTTCAAAGATGTATGTATTGAGGGAAACATTGAGGGCCACACTGGGAGAGAGTTTCCTGTTGTTGAGGGCTGGGAGTTTCCCGTGATACAGTTCGAGGGAAACGCCAGAGGATGTCCTGAATGCCTGAGTGTGTGTGTGTGTGTGTGTGTGCGCGCATGTGTGTGTGTGTATCTGTGTCTGTGCATTTACCTGTGTGACATATATATATATATATATATATATATATATATATATATATATGTCACATCATTGACATATGTATATAAATAACATATGTCACATCATTCTATGATCTCTTCTGTGTGTGAATACAAATATTCAATGTACCAAAAAAAATTATTGTTGGCATTTATGCCTTTCAGTTTAATAATGTCACATACTGTCCAACCATATATGTATAGAGGGTAATGTACTTGCATAAAATTCAAAATAAAATATTTTGTCATGATTACTGTGTTGCAAAATCAGTAGCCCATTGTAAATGTTGGAATAAGGCAAGTGATTTGATCCGAGGAAAATCATGAAAACGTGTTATTATTATAATAATGTGTATTAATTTGAAATATATATATATATATATATATATATATATATATATATATATATATATAAACTTGAGTTTAAGGACAGCGGACTTTACAGGTGCCCAAGAATGGGTGCACATGTTCAGTTTATACACAGTATTTTGTGGTGATATATAAGTCAAAATATACTGATTTTCATTAGTGCAAGGTTGCATCTCATGACATTTTCTGGATGATAAAATTGATTATTCTGTTCAAAAATGAATATATAGCATTGTAAAAGATACGGTATGATAAGATGATATTTTTTAAAGACTTGTTTACTTTTTATTTTAAAGTCATATAGTGTCACTGAGCTCTGTATGTGTGTGCCTGGGTTCATATATGTGTATCTGTCTGTCTCTGTACTTGTCTGAATGTGCATCTGTGTATGTATGTGTGTGTGTGTGTGTGTGTGTATGTCTGTACCTCAAACTGTATCTGTGTGTAAGAGAGAGTCAGAGAAAGCATGAGAGTGGGACTTATTTTCAGAAGCCATACTTGGATACACATGCATCAATAATTTATTTTGGTGAGAGATTCTCAAAACTACATTACCCACATCACCCAGGCCTGAAATCAGAAAAGCAGAAGCTGTCCAATGAGGCTTCAGCAGGAGCCACCATATGGCTGGGTTTCAGCAGTAGGATCAGAGTGGTGGTTGTCAATAGCGACGGTTCTCTCTCTCTCTCTCTCTCTCTCTCTCTGTATTGGAAGAATGGGCGTGGCAGCTGTTGGAGGATCCAGTGCGTGTTCACTAGTATCTAGTCATGTGACTTCTTACTATCCTTCTGATCCCGCTCTCTCGTCTCCCGGTAATGCGGCATGTGTACTGTACCATCACAGGAAGGGAGGGAGAGAGGGAGGCAGGGGGAGGGGTGCTGAGGGGTGAGGGGGGGGAAGGGAGGCAGAGGAGGGGAAGCGAGGGAGCGAGAGAGAGAGAGAGAGAGGGAGAGGGAGGGGAGGGTTGAGCCGAGGCAGGGAGATGAAACCAGCTTAGAGTGAGAGGAGGAGTGTATGAGAAAGAGCGGAGCGCATGTATAGCGTCCCTGTGACCTGAAGAAAAAGAAAGGAGGATTACACACGTCCCTCTTCTTTTACCGTGTGACAGAGTGAATGACATAGAGAGAAAAAGAGAGAGAGAGAGAGAGAGAGATAGGGAGTATGAGGAAAAACTGAATTCAAGAGGAAATCTTCATAGGACACTGGTGACTCCGCTGACAGAAGGACAGAGACAGAAGGAAAGAAGCTCAGGAAGACAGAAGGAAGGAGAGCATGCTGCTTTGGGAGAGGAGCGTGTGTCCCCTGTCCTGGAGCGTGTGCGTGAAGAGAACGGCGCAGGATCACTGTCATGTCAGCGTCTAGGAAGCTTCAGCGAGCTCACTGAATGAAGACATGGCCCAGGTAAGGAGGTGGAGGTGGCTTTTATATATACATGCACACATATATACACAAACACGTACGCGCTTACTCACAAATATTCCAGCAGGTACACCGCCCTGAGAGCGCGTACCATTAACATTCATGCCCTCCAGGGGCGTACCTACCGGTGAGCCCTGCTGGCAGCCACTGGAGCAACAGTGTGCCTACAAGCCACAGAGAAGGAAGAGGGGCTAGACAGGAAAAAAGGGGGAGAGTCACTGTACAATGTCATTCGCATTTGTTCTTGTGGAAGAGCCACCTTTGAAAGACTTAGCAGGCCAAATTGGTTGCATTTCTTGGTTGCGTGTTGTTTTTGTTTTGTTGTTTTGTTGTGAGTTTTAGTGTCAGAGAGTACACTTTAATGTGCATTATTTCCATTTGAATAATATATATTACACAGCACAATTATTGCCAAGTAATTATTGCCAAATTTCAGCCACTTCACAAATAACTTTAATTGTAATGAAAATAAAAAATGCTGATTTTTTCCTTCACTGCATTCAAACAGTTTGAGCAGTAGCAGATCAACAGTGAAACGGTTTCTACGAGAAACATTAAACAAGCAATTTGTAATCACTGTTGATGCCGAGTATCAAGAGAGGGAAGGTGCGAAATACAGGGGGTCTTGAGGGGTCCAGAACCCCCTAATTAACCTCTTGGACCCGCTGTATGTCTCAAAATCAAATTGCTGGGGGATACCTGAAAATAAACTTATTATGACATTAGGCTGTCTAAAAAAAGGCACTCAAATACAAACTCAGGGAAAGCTCATTATATAGCCGCTTCACCCACAATCATTAAGCTTCTGTCTTCAGCATTTTTTAACTAACTAGAGAGGCAGCACTGGTCTGCCTCAGGGTGGCACTGAAGCAAATTGGTTCACCCAGTTGGTCCTTCATAGCCTAGCAATTGTCACTATGCCCGGGATTTTGCTGAAAAAAGTTATAAAATGGCGTAGCATATTTGTATATCTGAAAACCTGCTGAGTTTGGTAGAAACAGTGAATTGTTACTAATTTCTCAAACCAAAGACAAAAGGGGAAATGTGTAATATCTCAGTTAATGTGGGGAAGACCACATTACCAACCTGAAAAAGAGCATTTACAAAAGAAGAATCGTTAAAACAAACATTATGTTTCCATTGAAGCTAGCATAAGCACTGCTATGGTGAGTGAGTTAGCAGTCAGCCAAAGCTGGAGCGTAGAACATGGGACCCCTCGAATACCAGGAGGTATTTCACACAGTGGAGGGTACAACACCCAAGAACTTCTCTATTACAGATATGGTACCACTGGAAAGCACAATATCCTGCTGCAGAATGCAGCAAAATAACAGAAGGAGAAAAGGAAGTAGGCCTACCTGCTAGCATGCGAGTGCCTTTTGTAGCCTCGTACTGCTCATACTGTAGCCTATAAACTGTGATCATTTTAGGAAGTTTGTTTTATATACACTGGTTTGACTTAATGTCAGCTTTTTTCGTTTTTCACTTTCAGGGTGTCTTGAGTCTCAGTTTCGCCCAAGGATTTTCATTTCAGTGCCTCACTACTGCTACATAATTTTAACATATATTTTCTGCAGGTGTACACATTTAATGTACACATTTGAATAAAGTAAATTCAATGCATCTCATTTTTAGTGTACATTCAAGCCAGGTAATCAGTCCATGGCCGGAAGACCAAAAACGTCTATATATGGATTTATGGAGATGTCTCAGAAAGTCATCTCCATAAATCCATAAAAGTGTGCGTGGTGACTGTGTTACTCTATGAATGTATGGGTGTGCATGTTGTGTCAGATGAATTTCCCAGCAAACCTCTCTCTGGTGGTTTAAACTTGATGTCTGATGTGTCACCGCATGAAAATCATATGAGTTCATCATTGATTTCAATTTAGTAGCACAAGACTTTCCAGGTAAAGCCTATCCAAGGCATATGGGACAGGAACTGGCTCAATGGCCATGAATGTGGAGAAGAAAAAAAAAACCTGCAGTGATTGTTGTAGAGTCATTAGAACATCGGGTCAAGGATGCTTTGGGAAACTTGGCTCACATAGCGTGGTCCCACCTCTTTTTGTGTTCCTGTTGTTGGCTTGTGGTGTGAAAAATGAGTCGCTAAGGCCCGATATAAGACCATTTTTTGTCTTACTGACATTTGTTTTGGTCCGTGCGTACATGTTTTGGTGTTTTCCCTGCTCTAACACACTTAACTCAACTAAGCCAATTCAAAAGTTCTTCCTGAGGTGAGGTACACTTAAAAATAAAGGTACCAAAAGGCTTCTCTGCAGCGATACCATGGAAGAACTACTTTGGGTTAAAGAACCTTTTAAATTTGTGGGTTCAAGAGTTTAAATAACCTTTCACTGAAAGGTGGTTTGTCTATGGCATCGGTCCAAAGAAACTTTTATGGCACCTTTATTTTCAGAAGTATAGATTTGTTAGAGCCAGGAAAGCCAAAGTGTGGAGGTAGGGGGAGTCCAGGATCCGGACTGGGAACTACTGGCCCAGCTCAATGGAAATTGTTTTCATTCAATTCATTCCTAAAACGCTTTCTTGGAAGATCTTTCATTGTGCTATTAAAATGTAAATACAATATTTAAACATATATTATTGTATTAATATATTCATGTTTTGATATCAAGATATGAGAGAAACATGGCCAAAATGTAAAGGTTCATTTTTTCTTTCCACAAAATAAGGTTGTACCCACAATATCTTTTCATCATATTTAAATCTTTGTAAAGTATCTCTTCTACTACAAACATGGTGTCAATTAAATGTTTAGAGTCTGTACAGTGAGCTACAAGGGAGAAATAATTAACATTGAATTACTCCACGCTTTTGTTGTCATTCTGACTTCTATAGGTTAAAAGGTAATGAGAGGTGAATTCTACCAACAAAATTCCAGTTTTGGGAGTTTTCTTAAAGCACTGGCTGTCCTGAAGTGTTTGCGATCCTCCTGCTGAGTTGCTTCGACTTTGACTGACAGGACGGAGCAGAGGTTAGATCACTTGGGGTTGGTAGACAGTGCAAGACAAGTAGTGTTTTCAGACATAGTGGAATGACCAGAAATATGACGTGATGCTGACAGAGATGTGCTTTTTATATTCCCATTTGGCACTCAAAAGCTTTCAAATGCTAGAAAGTTTTTTTCTTTTTAAGAGCCCAGTGTTTTTCTTATACTTTGTTCCTATGAGGTCTATTTTCATAATTCATTGTTACATGGCTATTTCCAACCTCTCTTTATCCCTTAGAATGAAACAGACTGTTTTTGTGACAATGCCTTTAAGGCCACTCTGTATTCTGCATCATTCAAAAAGCAATTCAGGCTGAATCACTCCTTATAACATCAACATGAATGGGTTGAGCTAAAATGCTGGAGACAGAATAGACAGATTTATGTAAATTTGTCATTGCATCACATCTGAACAGCAAACAATTAATTCAAAATGGTCTGTTTTAGCAGCTTAAGCCCTTTTCATGCTGGATTAGTTTTACCAGAGTAGGTCCAGTAATGTAATGGGTAAGAGATTTAACTGGCTGATTCATACAGGATAAAGTATCTGTGTACACTCAAAAAAATTGCTCCGCAGTTGGTTTTAATCATCAATTTTTACAGGCTGATATGATGCATGTAAGTGAAACTGAGTTAATGGTGTTTCAATGAAAGTCATCAAGTTATCAGAGTTACTGAACAAGTGTTTGTTTGGTCAGTGTGATCTTGTTGAGGTACACTTAAGATCCTTTTCATTGTATCTTAGCATCATCTATTTGCAGATTGTTTTACTTGTTTCACTCACCCTCTTTGTGTTGTCTGCTCACTGGCTTATACCTTCCTTTCTGTGTGCACCTTTCATCTACAACACAGTTCGCTGCTTAACCACATAATTGTTGGTTGTAAGAGTGAGTTACCATAAAAACTACTGCAGCTTAGTAGCACAGTAATAACTTAATGTAACTATGTAGAACTTATGTCCTTTTTTCTAGTTTAAACACTAGAACATAGCCATATTAAGTCGAATTTTGTAGTATTACATAAAAATGATCAGTGCAGTTCATTTAGAACTCAGCTGTCTATGATTTATTTGAATACTCTGAGTACATATTACTCATTTGAACATATACTTAACATAGTTGTGTGGAACCACTTATATAATATTTTTAAGTAAGTCCAACAATTCATTTTTGGGTAGTACATTAAAATAATCAGTTCTGTTAGAATTTCCTCAGGTCACTTAAGTGTGATTTCCTTGAATTCATTACATAAATATTACTCGATCAAATATCTTAGAAGCTACTTAACACAGCTGTGTGGAACCACTTGACATAACATTTTAAGTAAATCCAACATTTCATTTTTGAGGGTAATTTCTCCAATTTACCCCAGACAACCTGGACTGAAATGTCATATTAAGATCAAAATTAAACAGCTCCAAACATATAAACAAAAAATAATGTCCAGTTAGTGCCAGATAAACTAGCATTAGGCTAGTAAAGTGAGCTCATTCAAATTACCAAATGCTGCCCAACAACACAGAAATCGCATCACCTAGCAAGAGACCTCAAGATATTTAATTTTCCCTGTCTTTCTAAATAAACCATAAGCAAAAATGTTGTGCAACAATAAAGGAACTGGGAAGGAAAAAGGAACTGTGTCATGTCGAACATTTTAGCGGTTAGCCTTCTCTTCCAGTCGCCAAAAACAGAGGTCTTGATGTCTGTTACCATGTTTTGTAATTACATTGCCATGAGGTCAGTTTGAACAGGACTACTACTACAAAGACAGCTCTGGGTTTGGCATATAGGAATGTAATTTGACTTGTAAAAACTACAGACTTTGCACATTCCTACTGGATTAAAATCACAGATCTCATCTGTAATCACTCAAATTATAGCTCCTCCTCAGGTAAAACTAGTCCAGCTTGAATAGGGCTTTTGTTTCCAAATATGCACTGTATGGACTAAAGAGTGGACATTAAACATTTATA